TTGTTGATCTTTATATGCATTGACTAGATGTGATGTATAAATATGATGTATATTGAGGTGTGGATGCTGAGAATGTTTTGGGCATTAAGGTATTTTGGCTAACTGAGGATTTAAGGAGAGAAAAGGTTTTTGAAAACTGAAGATGCCATATAGGGAATCTTGGAGTGGTGCTCGGGTAGGCCATACATTGGAAAACCCTCCATGAGTAGGTGTTTCTCTTGGAGTAGGTTTTAAGGTGTATCAAGTCTCCTCTAGCTCCTTAGTTAGTGGTTGAATAAAGTAGTAGGTTGATGGCTACAACCCTTAACCAAGTATCAGGAAAGATTATGTTGTTCTTTGAGAATAATTAGTGGACGAACTCCATTTGTGACTTGGAAATGCATGCTAAGGTTGTGGTAAGGCCTATACTTAGTGATAAGTGCCAATTTTACCTAAATGAGTTAACTCTTTTGACACTTATTTAACTAGTTTTAAAAGAAATTTATGTTTTACCCTTAAACTATTACAAAATTCAATAAAGTTGTGGAAATTAGTTGGTTTATAAGGAGTGTATGGAAATTTTACTTAAACTCATGTTTTATGTCTTGCAAGATTCGATGTAGATCCAAAGTCTCAAAAAACTCCAATTCGATTAAGTGTTTGGAAAAGGGCTAAGTTTTTTCCAAAAGGCTAAGTCATTTCCAAAGGGCTAAGTCATTTCTAAAGGACTAAGCCATTTCCAAAGGGTTGAGCCCTTTAAAGGTAGAGAGTAAAATTTGAGGCAGAGGCCAAACCACTCAGCCATTTGGAAAGGGGGAATAAAGGGTAGAGCAAGGCAAAAATAGTAAACCTTACAAGGAATCCAGGAATGGAATAAGGGTTTTAGGGATTTTCTTTTCTACTATTACTCTTTCTCCATGTATTTTGGATTGGTTCTCACTATCATGAGTGCTCAATCCTTTTCTTTTTTTGGGATTAAATGTAAACCATCAAACTCTCATGTGCTCCTTTTGATTCATATATATGAGGATATATAATTCAATATTAGTGATTTTGATTATGTTCTTGATGATAAGGTGACTTGATCATTCATCTTTGAGTTTTGGTTTGGATTTCATATGGAAAACATTTTGTAAATCAGGTTTTGAATCAAATCACCTAATAGCTTCAAATACTAGGAATATATTTGAAATTGTTAGTTGAAAAAGGTTCTTGCACATAATGCAATACCTTTAACTTACTAAATAGAGGAATCATTTATTAAGTGGAATCCTTAGAATTTCTGAACTTAAGGAAATGATTGGAATGCATTTAATGAATTCAATGATATTGGATAATAGAAGTCATATTTAGATATCTTAGGAGCACTTAAGGGTGAGATCTATGAAGTTTAATCTTATCAGTTTTTCATTCTATTATATTCTCGTGCTACTACTACTTTATTTTCCATCTATTTGATAATTCCAATATTGAAATATGAACAATTCCATGTTTATAATATTTGCGAATCTGTTTATTTTAAGTTTTTATAAGTGTAACTAAAATTATAAGTATCTTTCAAGTCATACTTTTTTTCCATACTATATTGACTAGGTGTGCTTGCCTCAAAAATCTCATTAAGTTCTTAGCATCATTCTTAGAGACTTATGTCACGATATTTTGTAATTTGAGTTATCCTTGTGTTAAGCTTGCTTGCATTTAAGTTGTATATACTTATAGTAGTTAGAATTAGTATTTGTTACTTTCTATGCTAACATTTCTATTTAGTTCTTTATGTATGCAAGGCAAAACACCAATTGAGTAGTTGCTATTTTATCTTGAGATAGAAAGAACAACTAGGAGGAACAATAGTAACAAAAGGAATCAAAAAAGCTAAACCAGGAAAGGTAGCAATAGGAAGGTACATCCACTTTAGTCTTAGTTCAACAAACTTATCTTGAACCAATGGTAGATCTAAGTGGTGCAAGACATCTAGGTGGTGAAAGACCATACAACAACAACCCAAGAAGGCTCTTAAGGGAATACACACATCATTTGGGACCTAGGCACTTCTCTAGCATATCCAAGCCCACAAAAGGAATAGAAATAAAGTCAACCTTGCTTTCGTTAATCATGTCTAATCAGTTTTGTAGGTATGGATCATGAAGACCCATACACTCACTTGTCTACCTTCTGATGGAGGGACCATCCACAAAGAGCTTGAACTTGAAGACCATTGGACCTTTAACTAGGTCTATGATTAGGTGGCTAGAAAAGACTTCTATTAAGAAGGTGCTTCTTAGATTTATGCTCTATATGAGCATTGAGTATGATTCTTCTTATTAGTCGTATAGTCTCTATTATACATACCTTGTATAGTATCTTGTATATAGTAGATACTTGTATAGGCTTATTTTTTCCTTTGTATTTGTAAGGCACTTTTATCTTTTTTTGTAGGTCATACCGTTAGGATTTTAAGGTATGTTGCTTGGTATGTTGCTTGGAGAATTTTACACCATTTGACTTTGTATTAAGGGTCATCATATTTTTAGTTTTAGTAATGGGGTAGCAAATAGCAAGTGTGTAGGTGAAGCTAGCAATTGGGCCCTTAGTGGGCCTAGGCTAAATTTTACATATTAGGCTTGCTTTTCTCCATTTAATCCAAGGAATTGATGTAGCTAGGTCTCACCATCATTTGGTGAACCTAACTAAACTAATTCCAAGAGTTTTGGATTGGATTAGATGAAGGAAATCAAGCAAGGCCACTTAGCTCCTCTTTTGGCCAAATTGTTGGTAGCTTCTCTAACACACTTGCCATTTAGCTTGCTAAGGGGACAAGGTGACACTTGGCAACCTATGATTGGCTCTTCTAGATCTAAGTGTCCCTACCTTGTCTTTACCTTGTCTAGTTTGTAGTACAAGCTTCTCCACCACTATATATAAGTTGTTTCACTTGTAAAAATAACTTTTGGATCATTTTATGAGATTTTCGAGTTGTTACTCTAAATTCTCTCTCTCAAAAGTATAAATTCTCTCTTTGATTTGCTTTTAATTCTCTTATCTTTTTCCTAAGAGTTTAGTGAAAGTTGAAGTGGTTTATCTTCTACCTTGAAGTGGCACCACTTGAAGAGAGTTCTTCACCTTCTAAGGTGAAACCAAAGGTCTCTACCTCCATTACAAAACTTGAAAAAGCTTGAAGAGTGTTAAGAAGCCAAAGATCTAGTGAGGAACTTGAAGGAGAAGCAATATCAATCTAATTGCTCCATAAGGTTTTCATCACCTGTCGTGACCTTTGTGGAATTATAGGAGTACCTAGGGAGGATGAAGAAGTAGTATATCTCAAAAATTTTCCCTTCTCTTTGACAAGAAAAGTAAAGACATGGCTACAATCTCAGCCAAACTAGAGTTTAACTAGGTGGAAGGATGTTGAAAGAAAATTTCTTGCCAAATTTTTAGGATTTAGGGTTTTTCCCTCCATCTAGATACATAAGTGCCAAGTCAGCTATTGCAACTTTCTCTCAAGGAGTAGATGAGCCTTTATGTGAAGCATGGGAGAGATGTAACTCATTATTAAGGAAATGCCTAAATCATAGGTTTGACCATGTTGCACAACTTAATATGTTCTATAATGGGCTGAGACCATAAACAAAAATGTTAAATGTTTTTACAAGTGGATCAATGATGATGAAGGATTTTAAAGAAGCTATACCTATTACTGATGGTGATTACCAAGCTCACCATGCTAGAAGTCAACCCAACAAAAAAGGAATTTTATAGCTAGATACATAAAATGGAATCCTAGCTCAAAATAAACTTCTTTGTCAATAAATGAAGGACTTCAAGAAACAAATGTATAAGCTTCAAGTAGTATCATCTTCATGCTTTCAATTTCAACAAGTTACAAAATGTGATTTTTGTTCAAGGGGCCACCCAAATGGTCATTATACTATGGCTAATCATGGGCAGGATGAAGAAGTTAACTACATGAATAATTCAAGGAGGCAAGGCAATTTCTCTAGCAATTATAACTTGAATCAAGGTTGCAACAACCTAGAAAGACCGGAATGAAAGGCATCCATAGATTGTACAAGTATAAGATTGTATAGTTGAGGATGACTTAAATGAATTAATTTGTACTACCTATACCAACAAGATGCATCTATTTTTCGGTAGCTTATTCCATAAGAACTGCACAGTTAAGCGTGCTTGACTTGAAGTAATTTAGGAATGGGTGACCTTTTGAAAAGTTTCCTAGTAAGTGTGTGACTAAGGACAAAGCATGCTAAAAAGTTTTATGTTGGTTTGTGAGCTCAGTTTTTTATCCTAAAAGTAGACTGACATCTTAAAATTGGCTACCCACGGAGGATTCTAACTGATGAAGGGTTTTGACGAATGAGAAGTGGTGAAGTTGGTGGGCTTGTAATAGCCCAGAAACCCCGAAATAAAAAGGATCCAAAGATTGTACAAGTATGAAATTGTATAGCTAAGGATGACTTAAAGAATGAATGAAGTTGGTGAGACGTCAAATATAAGGAGTGCTACAAATGGTATTAGAGTAGGTCCTCTTTCCTAGTATGGTGTGGTTCAGGGACAAACCAAGTGAAAGCTGGTGGGTTTGTAATAGCCTAGACACACCAAAATAAGAAGGGTCTAGAGATTGTACAAGTATAAAATTGTATAGTTGATGATGGATTAAAGGAATTAATTTGTACTACCTATACCAACTAGATGCTTCTACTTTTCGGCAGCTTATTCCATAAGAACTTCATAATTAACACTACTAGAAAAACACTATTTTACGTCGCTATATTTACATCGGTTCCTTAAGAAACGATTTAAAAGAGAAGTGCGGTGGCAATTTTGTAAATAAGTAAAATATATAAAAATATTTACATCGGTTATATGAGGGACCGATGTAGAAATAAACAATTCTACATCGGTTATACGAGGGACCGATGTAAAAATTAAATTAGTCAACTACTCTACATCAGGTTTTTTGTTGACCGATGTAGAAGGGTGACCAAATTTTCCCTTCCCGCAAACGCACAGTAGCAGCCCTCATCTGATCTGAGACGCACCCTAAACACTCTCAAACGCAAACCCTAAACACTCTCAGCCCTTAAGAGCTGTCTACAATCCAAGCTCGCGGATCTTCGTCCAAGCTCGCGGATCTTCAACGAACGACTTTCGAAGGAAGCATTGTAATAAATCTGTATACTTTGCACACTGCACATCCGAGATGATATTTATCTCACCTCTCCCAAGACGACGTCGTGGAGCGCGACTCCCTCGTCCACTGCTGTTACATCGCCCTCGGCCAGTTGCAGTTCGTCATCTCTGAAATCAACGACTCCGCCCCCACTCCTCTCCAAGCCGTCAAACTCCTCGCCCTCTATTTCTCCTCTCCCGACAACAAGGTCAGCATCTCCAATTTCTCCTCTCACGCTCCCATCCCCTCTCCTCTAAATCTCGCATCTCGCAGGAATCCGCCAACTCCAGCCTCAAGGACTGGCTCGCCGATCCCGCCATCGGGAACAATGCCACGCTCAGGCTCGTCGCCGGCCTCGTCTTCCTCCACGAGAATGATTTCAACGAAGCCCTCAAATACACCAATGCCGGTGGAACCATGGAACTGTAAAAACTATAACTTTAATTTTAATTACTATTATTTCGTTTCCTTATTATAATTTTTTTGTATTTTTCAGGCATGCGCTGAATGTTCAGATCTTCATTAAGATGCATAGGTCGGATTACGCGAAGAGGCAGCTGCGGATCATGCAGCAGATGGACGAGGATCACACTCTCACGCAGATCGCCAATGCGTGGCTTGATTTGGCTGTGGTATTGTATTCTATTTGTATTTATATTAATTGAGATTTGGAATAGTAATGATGGTGAAAAAAGTGGTGATTTTTGGTGGATTAGGGTGGGTCGAAGATCCAGGAGGCGTATCTGATTTTCCAGGATTTGTCGGAGAGGTATCAGTCCACTAGCTTGCTCTTGAATGGGAAGGCTGTTTGCTGCATGCACATGGGCAATTTTGATGAGGCTGAGACCTTTTTGGTTGAAGCACTAAACAAGGCACGTTTTTTTTTAACCTATTGTGTTGTATATTATCCTCCTCTCTTGTGTGGATCGTGGTTACAAATTACAATTGACTTCGGAATGGTCTCTATTGCCCCATTTGGAAGTATTCATTGGTTCACTTTGTTTGAAAGAAATATGATAAACATACACTCCATTTTGGGTCGAAGGAAGAGAGGAAAAGTGATTGATGTGACAAGTTATAGGAGTGCTAATAACTGTAAGATGTATTGAAAATTACAAAATCATGAGGAGGTTCCATTAATAAGGAGTGAGACTCGCAATTCAGTGATTTTCAATAAATTTTAGCCTCTTTGTATTGTTGCTAACATCTTTCTAAGGGATATTGTAGAAAAGAAAGAGACTGATAGGAATAAAATAGGGTGGAAAGGAGATGGAAGAAAAAGGAAGTGAATGTTTATAATTTTTCTTTTTTTTTAAATTCATCTGGTATTGAGATGGTTTCTTCCTCGTTCACTTTGTGTTTGTGTGCTAGCTCTTGGTTTTTCTTACCTTAAGCTGTTGTACTGAAGTGACATTTGATCGGGTGATTTGTTCTTTTATAAAATTCACCCGATCAAATGTATATCAATTTTTAATCAATCTCTTAATATAATCATGTATTTATCATAATAAATATATTTCATCATAAAAATATAAAATATTTTTCCAAAGAGTCCAGGGAGAGGGGAGTGTCCTCTGCATTACAACTTTTTTGTCTTTCTCTAAATTCAGACTTCAACACATCAGGAATATTAAAATACATAGATTAACAGAGAAGGTATTCAAAACTGAAAATGAGGATATATGCAACTAAATTATAATATAATTTGAATTTAGAATTTAGAAAAGTGAAATCAAGAATGACATGTCATTCTTTGTGCCCTTGTGGGAGAGTAAAATAAGAAATTAATACACTTTAAATTTAAAGTAGTCTAATTCAATATATAGGAGTAGAAATTCTTTGCAATTCTCTTTCATAGACCTGATGAATGTTGATACTTTCGGAATTCTAGCTCTTGAGGAACTGCACAAGAGGTTGCTTTCACGTGGTGTAGAAGTAAGGCTACTCTGAATTTGATTATATTCTTTGACATTAATATACACGGGATTAAATATGTTTTTACATTACTAACAACAAATAAGTGAATGGTGTTGTGTTTACTTTTAGTCCTCAAAAAATAACGGTCTCTTTTTTATTTCTCATTTGTGAAAACTTGTGATGTGTGGTCCAAATTTCTATAAATAAAAGAAGATAATTTTTTTTAACATAAGACACATTTTTTAAAATGAAACACTAAAATAAGATGATCTTTTGTAGAAAGACTATATATGAATATTTCATTATGTAAAAATTTATTAAAAAAATTATAGGTTGATAGATAAAAATTATCATGCTAATTTACACTTGAAAATGAAGAGAAAAATATATGTATGGTTGATATATAATGTAATACAAAGAGAGATAAAAAAAAGTAATACATGATAATGAGTACTATTTATGATATTAGAGTATTTATATATGTGTTAAAAAAAATCTTGCTCCCCCTCAAGCCAAATATATTTAATCCTACTTTTTGTATGCATGGTTGCTCAAAACTTTATGCTCTAACACTTGGTTTTTGCAGTTAGCTATGGTGAACCCGAGGTGGTTAGTAATTCACAAGCTTAAGCTCGCACACTTTGTAGACAAAATTGGAAAAGAGTGGGTTTTCCTCACTGTTGGAGAAGCCGTAGACGCATGTCTCTCTTCCAAAATTGCTAAAGCTTGATTCATATATGATAACATGTGTCTGTGCACTGACTCTATATATATTGCACAGGGTTTGGGTTTTGTTTAAAATGTTGGTGCATAACATAAACTTATGTGAAACATTTTGTATTACACAAGCTGAACATCTTTACCTAAAAGTGATCATGTCATGCTGTATGCACCTGGGATGGGGGTTCATAACCACCTTTTTATACTATCTCAGTTTTGGACAGGGAGTGGTGTTTTCTTTTGTATGGCCACTTATATACAATTCAAATAAAGATTTAGATGTAATTCATAAGTATGATTTTTTTTTTTTATTTTTTTAAATGCAATCTACATCGGTTTTTCAGAACCGATGTAAAAATGTATACATTTTTTACGTCGCTCTATTCTACATCGATTTTAGAACCGATGTAGATGCCTTTAGAGAACCGATGTAAAATATGCATCTTGTAGTAGTGTAAGTGTGCTTTACTTAGAGTAATTTAGGAATGGGTGACCTTCTAGGAAGTTTCCAAAAAGTGTGATTGAGGACAAAGGATGCTAAAAAGTCTTGTGTTGGTTTGTGGGATTAGTTATTGATCCTAATATCAGATCTACATCTTAGAAAGGGTTACCCACAGAAGGTTTTGACCAACAAGAAGTTGTGTGAAGTCTCACCGTGTGAAGTGTTGTGGAGTGGATCCATTAAGACCTCAAACCTGAGGGGTGTTACAAAGGTTGGAGAGGTGTAATCAAAAATCAATATTCTTGATGAAAACAAGATTCGAGACCATCTTAGGGATAGCCCTCCCTCAGTAGCCTTACTAGGATCATCAACCTTATGAGCTAGATAAATTATCAAAGATGGAGGAGGCACTTACTTAGTTCATGTAGGTGTCCATAACCAATTAGAAAACTGATGAAGTCTCTCTCAAGAATTTGGAAATGCAGGTGGGACAAATGGAAAAATAGCTAGTAGATCAACAAATTAATAAATTCTTAATCAGAGAGGCATTATGGTAGGAAGAGGGATGGGTGAGAATCTGAATGGGAGTGAAGATGTTATGGGTGATGAGAAAAATGAAGTTGAGAATGAGAATGAGAATGAGTAAAGAGTGGAGTTGAATAAAGTGTGAGAAAAAAAATAAAGAAAAAGAAGAAAAAAAATGAGAGAAAAGAAAAGTAAGAATACTTGCCATACCCACAAAAAAATGAAGTTCAAACTAGGCCACTTATTGTGTAATTCTAGATTGAGAATGTTCCTTAGAAAATTAAAGTTAAAATGGTAAGGTCCATTCATCATGATAAATTTCAAGCTTGATGAAGTAGTTAAAATTCAAGATCCATTGTCAAAAAGGAGTTGGATTGGGAATTGCCAAAAATCGAAGTTGTATATGGGTGGTGAAGTTAAAAGGCTTACCACTATGCCCATATTTGAAGATCACTGAAGTTGTATGTGAGCCATTTCAAAAAGGTTGAGTCATTTATATCAGAAAAATTTTGAAAAGGTCATTGTCTACACCAAGCGCTCAACCATTTGAAAAAGGCTCAACACTTTTGAATGTAAAATTTGGGGTGTTTTCTTGAAGCATTCTGCTCAGTCATTTGAAAAGGCATAGTAGATTATGTGCGATTTTGAAAATTTAACTCTTTTGATTCCTAGAGCATTTACTTTTTATAAAAATCATATAACCCCTAAAGACCTATCATTTTCTCACATTTTCTTTCATTTCATCTCTGCACACTTAAAAGAGAATAAGATTCTTTTCTTTTCCTCACTTTATAATGAAGGTAAGTTCTATCTTGTATCATTTGTTTCAATAATGAATTGGTATATTTTGTTACCATTCGTTTATGTTCTATCCAATTAGTGACTTTGCTTCAAGAGACTACTTTTTTTAGAATCATGTACATGATTTCTGACTATCCATGCTCAATTAGGATCAATGTATCATTAGATTAGTATTTTGATGATGATGGAGAACTTGTGAAGAAACCGGATTAATGTTGATTCCTTTCCAAGCTCCTCCCTAGATCTTTGGCTCCTTGGTTCTCCTTAAGCTTTTCCAAAGCCTCTAATGGAGGTTGAGGCTTCGGATTTCACCAAAGAAGGTGAAGAAAACTCTTCAAGAAGCGCCACTCCTTGGAAAAAGATGAGCCACTTCAATCCTCACCACACTCTTGTTTGAAGAGGATAAAAGAATTGGACGAATATCAAAGAGGATGAGACTTTTGAAAGAGAGAAAATTTAGAACTCAATTCAAAAATCTCTCATAAAATGCATCAAAAGTGTTTACAAAATGAAAGAAAAGACTTATATAGAGAGGAGGTGGCTTATGATGCAATCTAGTCTAGCCATAGTTCAAGGAGAACTATGGTTAGTCTTCTTACACTTAAGCTAACCGTCCTAGTTACTTGGAAGCTTATGGAACAAGCTAAGCTTTGAAGCTTGTGGAGCAAGCCAAGCTAGAAGCCTGTAGCACAAGCTAACCAAGTGTGTGGGAGATGTTAGAAGAGCTAGGTGGCCAAACTTGTATTCCTTCACTTAATCCAATCCAAAAATGTTGGAATTGGTTTAGTTAGGTTCACCTAATGAGGGTGAGACCTAGCTAAATCAATTCCTTGAATTAAATGGAGTAAACAAGCCCAATATGTAAAAATTAGCCTAGGCCCACTACAGGCCCAATTGCTAGCTTCACCTACACACTTTACTATTTGTCACCCCACTTCTACTACTAAAAATATCAAAATCAATGACCTTTAATACAAGGTCAAATGGAGCAAAAGTCTCCAAAAAAACATACCCTAAAGTCCTAAAGGGATGACCTATAAGAAAAGGAAAAGGATGCCTCACAAATACAAAGACAAAATACACCTATACAAGTACTACTATGTGCAAATATTATACAATGTATATATATTGGAAGCTAAGGAACTAATAGGAGGAATCATACTCAATGCTCATGAAGAGCATAGGTCTATGAAGCACCTCCTCTGTAGAAGCCTCCTCTAGCCTCCTAACCATGGACCTAGTTAAAGGCCCAATGGTCTTCAAGTGTGAGCTTCTTATGGATCAACCTTCACCCTTCTTGATCTTATCTCTTCCAAAGGGATCCTTAGGGATTAGATTTCCATCAGATGACTTTGAACAAGGAATCTAAAAAAAAATGAAATAAATTTGGTTGTACTCACACTATCATAGTATTGTTACATTTGAGATACATTGATAAGGTTAGTGTTTTCGGCATGAAGGTCAAATGTTTTGTTAGTAAATAAACTTAAGTTGGTGAGTAGAAGACATCTTGCAAATACCTTTTAAGAGTCATAACTGCATTTTTGTGGTTAATATTGTTTTATTCTCTTATTATTACATGGTATGATGAAGCATGGACATGACCAAGGCATTTTTTCTTTGAAAAATCTAACCAAAGGCCAAATAGCCAACCTTCAAATGTTTAATTCCACTTGAACCCTATTTGAGCCTAAAATTTTAAATTCTTTTTGTTAACCCCTTAAGCCTCAAAAAGAAAAACCAATATCATTCTCCCTAAGAGATCAGAAGAGCATAAAAGAAATATCTTTTTACTTGAGGGCAAGCAAAATTCTAAGTTAGGGGAGTATAATAGGTTGTGAGGTTATACATTAGTTAAATGTATAAGTTGTGTTTTCCCTTGTATTTAGGGGTATATGTTTCCTAGTTTGTAGGTCATGCCTTTATGATTTGGAGGTATATTCCTTATTGAAATGTAATCCTTTCGACCTTGTATTCATGGTCGCCATTATTTATTTTTTGAAAATTTAGTAGTTGGAGTGGAAATAATCATTCTAATGGTGAGGCAATAGCCATTTTAGATAATTTGAAAGTAGTAAAGGTGTGGAAATAGAAAAAAAGTGATATTAAGCTTGTTTTTCTTCTCTTGGCCTAAGGAATTGATTTGGCTTGGTTTAATCTTCATTTGGTTAACCAAAGCAAACTAATTCCTTGGTTTTTGGTTCGACCAAGACTAGCCAAGGACATTTTGTCCACCACCTTGGTTAGCTTCACCTTTGGAACTACTTTTCCAACCACCTAGAGACAAGAGGACACTTGGAACTTGCTCATTGTCTCTTCTAGATCTAGTTGTCTCCTACATGTCTCAAACATGTCTACTAGAGCTTTTTATGATTGGTGGAACTAGATCTAAGTGTTTCCTTGTCTCTTAGATGTCTAGCTTCCTCTCCAAGCTACCTAAGACTCTAGCTTGTTCTCCAAGATATTTAAACTCTATATATATGTTCTTGGAACCATTTGTAGATAACTTTGAGCATTTTATTGATTTGACCAAAAATTCCTTTCCAATTCTCTCTCTCAAAGCTCGTTTCTCTCTTTGAAATTCTTCCTTTTCTCTTATATTCTCTTGAGTGTGGTGAGAAATTGAAGAGACTTAACATTCTTCAAGAGTGTGTGGTATCAACTAAGAGAGCTCCTACCTTTTCTTGTGTGTTAGAAATGGCTTCTAACATCAATGAAAGTCATTGAAAAAGCTTGAAGGAGTCCAAAAGTGAAAGATTCGTCCAAATTGAAGGAGATGCTACATCAATCTAATCACTCCTATGGTTTCCATCAAGTTCTCAATGTTGTGTTTTCCTCTGATAGGACATGTTACACTAGGGATTAGTTAGGATTGGTTAGGATTTAATTCATATTAATTAGATTGAGTAGTTTGATTTCAATTGCTTGTAATCTTTATTTTCGTCAAATTTAGTTTACGTTAACAATGTGATTCTCTTTACATGCATGGATTTTGAGTTTATTTTATCATATTGAGGTTATTTAGTTTTATATTAATTATATGTTATGGTACATAGGGTACAGGGTGTCACAATGAATATATTGAGATTTGGCCTAGATTTTCTCTCAAAGTTTGTTTCTTTCTTTGAAATTATTCATTTTCTCTTATCCTCTCTTGAATGTGGTAAGAAATTGAAGAGACGTATTACTCTTCAAGAGTGTGACATCACCTAAGGGGGATTCTACTTTCTATTGTGTGTTAGAAATGACTTCTAACATCAATGAAAACCATTAAAGAGCTTGAAGAAGCCCAAGAAGTGAAAGACCCGTCTAAAAAACTTAAAAAGGAGAAATTACATCAATTTAATCTTTTCGAAAGTTTCCATCATCATACTTTTTGTTTTATAACAGATAATATTTTATTTAACAATAGTTAATAATTTAAAATAATATAATATTGATTATTAGTTTTTAAATAATTTAATTTTGTTAAATAATTTATAAAAACTGACTCAATTCAATTAATTATACTTTTTCACCTAATACAA